GAAACCACACTTAGATCAAGCATCTACTTTCAAGCTATGAGAACCACCATTTCTCCATCTTGTCTCAACAAGATAATACGACACACCCAGCTTTGGCATGGCCCATGACACGTACGATCGAGGCCTTGACAAGTGCTTTACTTATAGAGCTTCTAGATCTAACCGGTTTCTGTGCAACGATTGTTCATAATCCGAATAGACCATCCATTCGATTATGTAATCCCAATCCCGGAGCTCCTACTAAATCAAGCATATCTAATATCTCGATTAAGTTACGTGCATTCATTCACTATGGACCATCCATAAGAATAAATCATGTCTATTTGAGTCACAGTTGATCAGATTATGCAACGATTGCATAATCGGACCTCGAAAACGGAATTTTTCGGAATCTGGACTTTGGGCCGTCCGTTCTAGAGGTAGAACGGACGTTCCAGGCTAGCAGAACGTTTGGTCTCGACTTCAGAAGTCAGAACGGACGTTCAGCCTAGTAGAACGGACGTTCTGCATGGCAGAAAGGACGGTCCAACCTTCCGTTCTGTGCCAATCAGTCCGTCACCCTTGGACCGTCCGTTCTGGGTCCAACCTTCCGTTCTGTGCCAATCAGTCGGTCACCCTTGGACCGTCCGGTCTGGCTTACCCAGAACGGACGGTCTAGGGTAGGTCTCTGTGATCAGATCACGTTTCCCCGCGTTCTTGGCCCCGATCAGACCCGAAACTAATCTGAATTCTTCTGTACACCCAAAATTTGAATTCCTGCACTCTATACAACATGAAACATGCAATCTACACTAGATTCAATAATCAAACATGCATAGATATCATAGCAAACATGGATTCAAACAATTCAAATCCTAAAACATGCGTGATCGGGTTCTACGAAATCAAAACAGAGCAACCAGGCTCTGATACCACTGTTGGGTTTCCTGGAATCTCTAGAGCGAATCCTATTCCTAAGAGATCGATTCTAGGGTTTGCGCAGCGGATATAAAACAAAAATTTAATAAACCCTAGAACCATGCTTCTAATGAATCGTAGAAACGTTAGAACGCTTACCTCAATCGATCCGGGGCCTGTATCAATCGAAGAACACGTCTGATCACGAAAGGCAGGAAGATTACCTCGCCCTCTACACGTATCCACGCCTCGGAATGGATTCCAACGATTAGAACTTGTCTGCTAGGACTCAAATCTCTATTCGGTTTTTGCACTTCGAGAAAACGAGACTTAGAACTTGTTGAGCTTTTTGGATCTCACCAAAAATCCTCCAAGAACTCCAAAAGTCGGCTGCTCAAAGTCTCATTCATTATTAGGGTTTTAATCTCCTTCTTATAAAGTGATTTTACCCTAATTTCGGTTCAATTACGAAAATACCCCGAGCCCAGAACGGACGGTCCAGAAATGCACGTGGACCGTCCGTTCCAGCAAGCAGAACGGACAGTCTGCGTTAGTGGACCGGATGGTCCACGTGCATTTCTGGACCGTCCGTTCCAGGCTTCGGGTTTTTCGAAATTAGACCGAATTAGGGTTAAATCACCTTATAAGAAGGAGATTAAAACCCTAATTAAGTTAGAGCTTTTGCTGGCCGACTTTAGAACTCTTTTGACAGACTTTTGGTGAGATCCAAGAGGTTCAAGAGTGTGATCGAAGTCTCGGTTTCTCGAAGCACAAAACCGAATAGCTGATTCGGGTCCTAGCAGACAAGTTCCAACCGTTGGAATCCATCCCGAGGTGTGGATACGTGTAGAGGGCGAGGTAATCTTCCTCCCTTTCGTGATCAAACGGATTCTTCAATTGAGACAGGCCCCGGATCGATTGAGGTAAGCGTTCTAACGTTTCTACGATTCATAGAAGCATGGTTCTAGGTTTTCATTAAATTTGTGACATAACCGTTTCACAACGTCACTTTCGGTTCGTTTTGTCTCTTTGGTATGCAGCTTCCAGTGCATGACAAGAAGCACAACCGGTAGAGAACAACTCGTCTTCGACCCCGAAATAGAAAGGACTCTGCGCTTCGCTCGGAGACAGCAAAGACAGTGGGGAATGGGCAAAGAAATGCTGAGAGAGAACAACTCACGAAGAGAACAGCCTGACATGGCCGAAGAGTTGTTGAGAGGGGCCAATGCTCAAAGGGGTCCAGTCCAAGCACCCCCTAGAACGCTTCGAACGTACACACAACCGAAGCACACTCAGTTGCTATCATGCATCAGCCGGGGGCCTCTAGAAGATTTTGAACTCCTGCCGCAATGCATTCAAATGCTCAACAATATGAGTTTCCGTGGGAGACCAAACGAGGACCCGAATGCTCACCTTACAAACTTCAAGATGAACTGTAAGGCAATCAAGAAGGGACCGGGGATTACCTTAGAAGATGTGTTTCTTGAAACCTTCCCCTACTCGCTTACGGAGAGAGCTAGAGATTGGCTCTACACTCTTGAGCCAAACTCTATCTCGACATGGGATGAGATGGAAGAACAGTTCCTTATGCAATACTACTCCCCTTCCAAGATTCAACATGCGAGGAATCGGATCAATGCCTTTGTGCAAGAGGATGGGGAGAATCTCCATGATGCATGGGAACGTTTCAAGGAATATCAAAGGATGTGCCCTCACCATGGAATGGAAAGAGACTACCTTCTATCCATGTTTATCCATGGGTTGAAGGATGACACCCGTTCTTGGATTGATGCGGCATGTGGAGGCGTTATTTATGACATCCCTTTTCAAGAGTTAGAGGCGACAATTGCAAAATTAGCCAAAGGACGCAGCCATACATCCAACGAGTTCAGTAGGAGAAGCTCAGTGAAAGGGGCGACAATTGCAAAATTAGCCAAAGGACGCAGCCATACATCCAACGAGTTCAGTAGGAGAAGCTCCGTGAAAGGTGATGTGGGAGAGAATGCAGCCCTTATAAGGCAGTGTTGGCCGACCTTGCTGAGATAAAGGTTCAACTCGCCAACGCCAAACAAGTGGCTGCTGTGGAAGATCATAATCCAGCGCAAATTCAACCGGGAATGTATATGGTTGATCAAGAAGTGGAAGAAGCCAACTATGTCGGTCCTAATCAATACACTCATCCGTCCAACCTATACAACCCCGGATTGAGGAATAACCCCAACGGAACAACCAAAGACCTCCGGGTTTTCAACCGAAGTACCAACAACAAGGTCAAGGGAGCCAAGGTTATCAAAGGAATTCCAACTATAGGCCACAACAAGCGCAACCTAAGGAGCAAGACCCGGACATCAAGGACATGCTATTCCAAATTCTCCAAGGCCAAAAATCACAAGGAGTGCCTATTGGAAACATTGAAAATGAGCAAGTTGCATTCAAGAAGCAATTGGAGGAAGTACAAACTTACTTGAAGATCTTGGACAATCAAGTGGCCCAACTTGCATCTTCCTCCTCATCAAGACAGCAAGGCATGCTTCCCGGTAAGAACGAGGTGAACCCCCGTGAGCACATCAATGCAGTCGAGCTAAGGAGTGGAAAACAACTTCCAGAGATTACACCTCCGATGGTTGAGAAGGTAGTGCCTCCGAAGCTAACAAGAGAGGAAAAAGGTAAGGCGGTAGAGGAAGACATCCCTAATGTTGGTTTAGTGCTCTATGATGTACTGATTATGAGCTTTGTTCAGAAACATTCGATGTATTGATACTTTTTATATGTTTTTTTTATGAGAGTATTTTGTTCATTACATGTTCCTGCATGCTAGATCTGTTATGAAATCCATGTATCATTATGAATGATACTAAACTCCCTAGTCTTGTGTCATTATGGGAATAACGACATAATAAGACTAGTATGATGTGTGATTGATGATCACATAGATGATCATATGTATTAGATACGATCACAATCATAGGTATTCGTTGCAGAACGGAATACTGGACTGACCCGCATGAGATTGCCACATGGACTAGCGTCATGACTTGAATCTCATACGACGATTCCATGATTGGATCCTAAGACCTGAGATATCTACAGAATCCAACATGAGGAGTTGCGTGCTTTGATTACGTCAAACGTCCTGCGTAACAGGAGGACTATAAAGGCGTGTATCAGGTACGAAACGAATCATGTACTGAATTGTAGATAGTCAAGACGGGATTTGTACCTCTCGTAAAAGAGAGAGATATCGCTGGGCCCCTCGTGTGAGCAAGACTGTAGAAATGTGTGGCCGCACTATAGACGAACGTCCTCTATTTCAGACAGTCGAACTCAGTGAACGAGAAAGCAGTCGAATCAGATAAGGTGGCTTGCCCATGCCTTATGTTATCCCGATTAGGAATCCTAATTGGATTGAGATTCCTAATTGGAATAGGAATCCTAATGGGATTAGGAATCCTATTATGTATAGGAATCCTAATGAGATTAGAATTCTATTACATCTAGGAAACCTAATGAGATTAAAATTCTAATAGGTTTAGGAAACCTAATTAGATTAGGATTCCTAGTAATCTATTCCTTGTCAAATTAGGATTTTTGGAAAGTCTATATAAGGAGAATGTCTTCTAGGGTTTTAAGTGAAGAAAAAAAGAAGAAAAATAAAACCCTAAGCCTCCAAAAACCTTGCACACAAGAGAGATCGAGATCTCTAGTCCTAGCAGACAAGTTCCAAGGTGTTGGAATCCATCCCGACGTGTGGATACGTGTAGAGGGCGAGGTATTCTTCCTGCCTAGAGTGATCGGACGAACAGATCAATTGATACAGGCCCCGGATCGATTGAGGTAAGCATTCTAACGTTTCTATGATTCAATAGTAGCATGGTTCTAGGGTTTCATTAAAATTTTTGTTTTATATCCGCTGCGCAAACCCTAGAATCGATCTCTTAGGAATTAGATTCGCTCATGAGATCCCAGGAAACCCAACACCTAAGGTACAAGAACAGGAGAAAGAACCAGCCTACATCCCGCCTCCACCTAAGGTACCCCCGATACCTTTTCCTTATCGTCTAAAGAAATTTAATGAGGACAACCAATTCGGGAGGTTTGCGGAAATGCTTAAGAAGATGGAGATCACAATGCATTTCCATGAGGTAATCCTTCAAATGCCGTCATACGCGAAGTTCCTCAAGGATATTTTGACAAAGAAGCGAGTGGTCGAGAAAGAGACCATAGCATTGAGCACCAAGATTAGTGCAGCCATCACCAAGCATGAACTCCCCCCGAAGATGTCTGATCCGGGGAGTTTTTCTATACCATGCAAGTTGGGAAACATCGAGATTGATGGGACGCTATGTGATCTTGGAGCTAGCGTGAGTTTAATGCCGCTATCCATTTACAAGAAGTTGAATATAGGCGACTTGAAGCCCACGAGAATGGCCTTGCAATTAGCGGACCGATCCATCAAATATCCAGCAGGCATTCTAGAAGACGTACCCCTCAAGATCGGTGGATTCTATGTGCCGGTGGATTTTGTAGTTTTAGATATGGATGAGGATTCTAAGGTACCGATCATAGTGGGCCGACCATTTTTGAGTACAGCGGATGTCGTAGTGCACGTTCGATCTGGTAGATTAACGATGAAAATCGGAGATGAGACAGTCGAATTTACACTCGTCCAGAATTTGAAGCAACCCTCGACAAATGATACGGTATGCTATGCGGATATACTTGAAGCGATGGCGGAAGAAGTGATTGGAGAATTCCGCGAAGTAGACCCGCTAGAAGTGTCACTAATGGCTACAGAAGCAAGTCTATATAGCAATTGGGAAGAGATCGAGGAGATAAGTCGGGCACTGGACGGTCAAGAAACCGAAAAAGAGGCTTCTGAACTATTTCAGGTGACCCGCCGGAAATCACCTAGTTTCAGACTGATGCAGAGGGAAACGAGCGACCGCTCGGATTATCAGGCGGACCGCTCGAAAAGTCTGAGAAAAATCGACTCATTCCCTGGGCAATCGAGCAACCGCTCGCCAGAATGGGCGGACTGCCCGAAAAGTTTGAGAAAAATTGATTCATTTTCGGAGAAAACGAGCGACCGCCCGACATTTCAGGCGGACCGCCCGAAAAGTCTGAGCAAAATCGACTCATTTTCGAAGAGAACGAGCGACTGCTCGGATTATCAGGCGACCCGCCCATGTGTACCTGAGACGGAAGAATTGCATTTCGAGGCCCTCCTCGCGACCACTCAAGCCATGTCTGACGCGCCTCAAGCCCCAAGAGGAGATACACATGTTGATTGGGATCCCAAACATGCCCCGCAAGTGGAATTGAAACTCTACCTCAAGGGCTAAGGTACGTCTTCCTCGGCACAAATTCTACTTACCCCGTTATCATTAATGATGCACTAGATGAGGATCACGTAGAAAAACTCACCAAGTTGCTTAGGCAATACAGGGAAGTCCTAGGTCACATGATAACTCCTAATTCTCTCTATATTTCCAGGACGTTTTTATAGGATTTATATGAGGATCATATTCATTTGTAGGCATTATAGGCGTGTTAGGCTACGAAACTCGGTTTGGTTGTGTTTTTATTGGATTACAGGTCTTGGATGAAATTTGGACCAAGAAGGAAGCAATCTGGAGCCAAAAGGATGAAATACATCAAGAACTTCCTGCCTTGACTTGGCCAGAGTTAACAACGGAGATTGGGCCGAGTCAACACGCTGAAAATTGCCCAATTCAAGCCTGTTACGAGGAGACCGAGTCAGAACGTCCTTGTCAGATTACCCCGAGTCAACATGTCCGAGTCAGAAGGCCAGAGTCAGAAGATTGGGCTGGGCTGAATCCTTATGTCTCGTTTTGACTCGGTCGAGTCAGAGTACTGACTCGGTCCGAGTCAAAACTCAGAGAAAGCCCAGATTCGAATTTTCAGAGTTGGAACGGGAGTATGACTTCGGGAACGCCGCCTAGGGTTTATAAAAAGACTCTACAGACGTCCTAGAGAGGGGGGATACTTTATACAGACTTTGGAGAGCTTTGGGGAGAGAAATAGGAGTAAAAACGGGATTTCGAGAAGAAGAAGGAGAGCTGGAACGTGAAGATCACTTTGTTGTCGACATGAGCCTTTCTTCTCCCTCTTTTCTTTCTGTTTCTAGTTTTACTCAGTGTTTTTCCATGAACCGTGAGTAGATCCACGGCTGTGGATTAGGGATTCGTTTGTGTTTTGGGTATGTTTGAACCCTAACTTGGTTGCGATTTGGATTTGTTTCGGTTTTATCGATTTGTGCTTTATTCGATTGGTGTTTGCTGACCCCTAGGCCAATTATTTCAGATTCTGAACTACATAGGAATATGGGTTTAGTTTCGGATCGAAATCGATAGAATAGATCGTATTATTCACATAGGAATATGGTTTGATCGATCTAGGGTTGATGATAGTGTTCTTCATGCATCTAGTTTGATAAATCACATAGGGATATGGATTTAGAGAACTTTAGATAGTGAGTTATATGCCGGGAGGTGATTTCTCTATCTTTGTTGCTTGATGATTCCCGAATACAGATTCAATATCGTGATTCTCGCATGCTTAGCATATACCCATACACGCGAATACGGTCCCGACACCCACGGTCATCGTAGATTGCTAGCTTACTCGTCTTTATTGCTTTATTTCCTTATTTTCTATTCTTTCCATATTCTTCCACCATCACTTCTACTTTCTTGCTTTGAATTAGTCTCGATTAGGATTTAGATTTAGCAACCGGTCCTTGTGTTTGACCCCGTGTTACGACGATCCGTATCCTTGCGGTGAGTTGTGAATCGGGTTATAGATTTTAGACTCGGTACACACGTATCAAGTTTTTGGCGCCGTTGCCGGGGACTGGTTAGCCTATTTCTAGGTCTTTATCGATTCTAGACCTTTGCTTGTTTTTCTTTTTCTTTTTGTTTTTCTTTCCTTTTTGTGGATTCACTTGGTCTCGAGTTCTTCTTTTTCTTTGCGGTTTGCAGGGTTCTAGTGCATGACACGGAGCTCTACTCGGAGAGAAGACCTAGTCTACGATCCAGAGATTGAGCGTACCTTGAGACCGTGCGGTTCATGATGAGGATCATCAAGAGAATCAAGAGCACATGAATCCGTTCTATGATCAGCAGACCGAGGGCGAAGCTACTTACGTTGCAGAGGAGACTTTGGGTTCTTACATTGCACCGAAGCACACCCAACTCCTATCGTGCATCAATAGACCGTCCATAGACAGTTTCGTGCTACCGCCACAGTGCATCACAATGTTCAGTCAGGCGAGTTTCAGAGGGCGGCCTATAGAGGATCCCATTGCTCACTTGACTCAGTTCAAGATGCTGTGCAGATCAGTTAGGAAGGCACGAGGGATGACTATTGAAGATGTATACTTGGAGGCCTTTCCTTTTTCACTGATGGACCGGGCAAGAGATTTGCTCTACAATCTTGAGCCAAACTCGATTACGACATGGGAGGAGCTAGAGGAGCAATTCATGGCGAAATAGGAGGCCTTTCCTTTTTCACTGATGGACTGGGCAAGAGATTGGCTCTACACTCTTGAGCCAAATTCATGGCGAAATATTACTCCCCAGAGAAGACCCGAGCTGCACATAGAGCCATACACAGCTTCACTCAGGAGAGTGACGAGAGTCTATACGATGTATGGGAGAGGTTCAAAGGCTATCAACGCCTTTGTCCACACCACGACATGGATAAGCGACTGTTGCTTTCCACGTTTATCCACGGACTGAGAGATGATACTAGAGCATGGATGGATGGAGCTTGTGGAGGGAGTGTATACGACATTCCCTTTGACACCCTAGAGATGCAGATTGCGAAGATGGCTAAAGCAAGAGGGATGTCAGGAGATAGCATCAGACGCTCTACAGGACGGGTAGATTTGGGCGAGTCCGCTGCTTTGAAGGCAGTCATGTCTGATTTATCGGCGATCAAGCAGCACATGGGACTCAAGAATACGTTTAACCCGCATAAAGTCCAGCCTGGTATGTTTCTGGTTAATCAGGCAGCATCAGAGGAAGAACCGGTTGAGGATGTCAACTACATCGGAAGGAATCAGTACCAGAATCCTCCTAATCTCTACAACCCGAATGCGCCTAGGAATCACCCCGGTTTCTCATGCGGAAACCCGAGCAGAGCATTGAATGCATAGCAACAGGGCATTCCTAGAATCCCTCAGAATCCCCCGGGCTTCACTCAGTCACGTTTTCAGGGGCAGAATCAGGGATATGCGCAGCAGAATCCAGGATACGGACAGCAGAACCAGGGTTACCGAGCGCCTCAACCTGCGAAGACTGATGAAGCGGACATCAAGACGATGCTTGCCCAGCTAATGCTCGATCAGAAGACATCATTAATTCACTGAGTTGAAGACCGAGATACAGAGTATAAAAGTCAGGCAAGACACTTTTGAGAGGAGATTAGATGGAGTCGAGGCTCATATGAAGCATGTGGACATGCAGATTGCGCAGCTTGCATCAGAACCCTCTAGACAGCAGGGCACATTTCCTGGAAAGCCCGAACCGAATCCACGAGAACACGTCAATGCCATTCAGCTTATAAGTGGAGAGAGTCTGCCTGAGACGGTCCCTATTACTACCACAGAAAAGGGAACGACGACTAGATACACTACTGAGGAGAAAGGGAAAGCCATAGCTCACGAGACACCTAAGGTGCATGTAGAGGAAGCCGAACCGCCATATGTAGCTCCTCCCCCTTATGTACCACCCATTCCGTTCCCTTCGCGATTGAAGAAGCATACTGAGGATACACAGCTGTCTAGATTTGTTGATATGCTTCGGAAGTTAGAGGTTAAGATGCTTTTCTATGAGACGATACTCCAGATCCCTTCTTATGCAAAATTTTTGAAAGATATCTTGACTAAGAAGAGGGTGATTGGGAAGGAGACAGTATCCTTGAGTACAGAGGTGAGCGCAGCAATTCTACAGCATGAGTTACCACGGAAGAGATCAGATCCAGGTAGTTTCTCGATTCCTTGCAAAATCGGGAACAATGCCAGTGTGAGTTTGCTTCCACTGTCTATCTATAAGAAACTCAACATTGGAGATCTCAAGCTGACGAGGATGGCACTACAGCTTGCGGATAGATCCGTCAAGTATCCTGCAGGTATTCTCGAGGATGTCCCATTGAAGGTCGGGGATTACTATGTTCCGGTAGATTTTATTGTTTTAGACATGGACGAGGACTCGAAGATACCAATTATATTAGGCCGACCGTTCTTAAACACGGCCGATGCGGTGATTCATGTTCGTGCTGGTCGTCTTACGATGAAAATAGGTGACGAAACTGTTGAGTTCACCCTAGATCACAACATGAAACAACCATCCACCACCGACTCAGCGTGCAACATCGATGTGCACGAGATCTTGACTCCGGAAGACTTCGATCAGTTCCGAGATCCACTTGAAATATCTCTCCTGGCATCAAGTGAGAGTATATACAACAATTGGAAAGATATTCAGGAGCTTACACAGGCATTAGAGGACGGAACTGAGGAAAAATTCGAGTTTTTGCGTTCTGACTCGACCGAGTCGAGTATTGACTCGGACCGAGTCAACTCTCTGGAAGTTTCAGAAGCTCTATTAGCTTCTGACTCGATGTGCACCCGTGTTGACTCGATCTCCCTGTATTCTGACTCGGACCGAGTCAGGTCTCTAAGCGAAGTCGAGCCACTTCTTACTGTCAAAACCGAGCCAGTCCGGAACGTCTCCGAACCCTCCATGATAACCACCCTAGATGCTCCAGAACCCAGAGAGCCACCATTTAGCACGGGGACGCTGAATAAAGCATATTGGAGTCTAGAGAATGCCCCGAAGGTGAAATTGAAGCCCCTACCTCAAAGGCTTAGGACAAAGGAACACACATATCTGGATAGGAACACAGAACCATCACTGGAGAGAGGTACATATCCCGCTCATAATCCTATATCCGTGTTTGAACCTTCTATTACAGATTGTCGAATAGGGGTAATGAGCAAGAGAGGATCGAAACAAGAAAAATCATCGCTCAAACGTCCACAAGATCCACCTCCTTCACAAGTTTGGAAACCTAAGGAGGATAGAAGGCTCAAGCATCCACAAGTCCAAAAGATGCGCTTAATGCTCAACATCCAGGGTGGCGAAAGATCTATTATCTTCGCCTCTCAGACCCTCCCATCATTTGAGCAAGATAGGTCGAGCTAATGACGTTAAACAAGCGCTTCTCGGGAGGCAACCCAAGCATTAGGTAACTTTTCTTTTTCTTTTTCTTTGTAGCGTAGGTAGTAGAGACCCTGATTGTATTTTGGATCTTTCGG